CACCGTATAAGGTACGGACAGCAGTAAGTTACAACATTAACCCATTTACTGCTGATTCACCGTATAAGGTACGGTCAGCAGTAAGTTACAACATTAACCCATTTACTGCTGATTCACCGTATAAGGTACAGTCAGCAGTAAGTTACAACATTAACCCATTTACTGCTGATTCACCGTATAAGGTATGGTCAGCAGTAAGTTACAACATTAACCCATATGTTCAATGTATCATATGTTCAACAATTCATCTTTTCACTTTAGAACATTTTATTTAAAAATATAACATTTTTGTCACCTATCTAATCAATCATGTATGAAATTTTGATGCAGCAAATTAATACAAAATAATTAAATAATACCAGTTACATTCTTATGAAGTTAAACATTTGTTGTTGTTTATTAAATATCTACTAAGCTAAAGCTTGAACATACTACTCAGTATGCACTGTCAAGTACATATATAAAATTTAATAGTACAATGTCTACTGGCAGGAATTATTCAGACAAATCAACAAAGCTGTCACCCTAGCGGGTCAACAGTAATCTTAGAGACATATAATGCTAAAATCCTGAGTTTGATTCCCCATGGTAGATTGAGCAGATAGCTTTAGTTCTGTGCTAAAACAAACAAAGAAAATCAGTAGAGCTGTGAGGTTATACTCATTCCCAGGATTTTTAAGGAGATCATCATTTTCTAGGCTAAAATTATCAAAACTTTGTAAGTTTGCATTCAGCCACAAGTGATTATACTCATTAAAAGACTAAAAAACTATTTGTAAAAAGTGAAAAACCTAAAAATCTTTCTTCTGTTATGTAAGAATACTGAAAAAGTATACTTCTTTAAAGTATGGGTATTACAGTGCTCCCAGAATCCTCAGCCTCAATATTCGCTCTATAGCCATTAGACATTAAAGAACAGTAGTTCAGATAACATTTACTTAGTACCAAGAACTTCCAAATCACAATAATGTAGAATGATATATTGAAAGACATAGTAAACAGATATATATAAAAGAGCAGATTGAATAACTAGTCCATTTATGATTTGGTTTAGTATAACTTATTGTGATTAAGTTGTATTTCACTTCTATATTATTAATAAGGTTTTCACAGATTTGGTTCAATTTATAACAACTTTACAGTATTTTCACTTCATTTACCCCACTCTTTTGTTTCTCACTTCTCATTCTTTAAAAACCTAGTGAAACTAATAGCCTGTTAACAAGATCTGTGTTAAACTACATTCAAAATTCATAATGAATACAAACATTTGGTTTAGAATACGCTAATGTGGTAAACATAGGATGTAAATTATATCAGATTAAAAGATGTGAGGTATATTGAAATTAATTATCAAGAATTTGAGTTGAGTGAAAGCCACAGAAGTTCAGTTTAATCCTGATATCTGATAAGCTAATGCACTAGCTACTGGCTAGATGACGTCTTTTTAAAAAGTATACTAAAAAACATCATAGTAAACAAACTCAAAAGTATGTTGTTTTTTTAAGTGGCATAGTTCTAAATTTCAGTGTCAGAGTCCTACCAAAATTTGTAAAACGTGATGTCACCAACAGGGTAAAGATTTTCTATTCAAAACTTAATTTCCATTTTCAATAAAGAAAATAATTATTTCAGACTACTTATATTAGTAATAAGTTGAATATGCATATGCTACAGAGAGGAAACATGCAACTTAGCTTCCTTTAAATTAAGCAGCAAGAAAAAACAACAAAAACACTATGTACCAAATTACACAATATTTTTAGTCACCTTCCACTTCAGCAACAATAGTCATAAAACTGTATTAACAACTTCGACTTTTACAATACTTTCCATACTTCATATTCTGCCAACACTGATAACAAAGAAAAAAAGGGACCTAAGGGAAATAAGCCTTTTACAAACATATGTTTTAAATCCACAGTATACTTATAAAGTGTATTTAAAGTGTTCTAATACCATATTTGTGTGTCTTAAGAACCATATAACATATGAAAAAAAAATTCATCATTTTAATGCTCTGACACCTGCTCTTAAGCTGGAGCAGTCACACAGTGTCTGATGCCAGCTCATGACAAAGAGTGACTATGTGCTAGAGATCTGAGAGAATTCTGCCAGTAGACATAGGAGAATCACAAACAGTGTTTTCTGACACTGTGAGACCTTGGTTACAAAAGACACTTCATCTTACATATATATGGAATAATTTAAATTTTTTATACATATATTTAGTTCTCAAAGTGTTAGGATTCAGCTCTAATTTCAGGTGTTGGAGTGTCACTCTGCCAGAACTATACCCCTGCAAGTTTTCTGATTATGGTGTTAAAATTGTGTTTTGGATCCTAAAAGAAAAGTGCAGACAGTCCACTGTGCCATGCATTAAGCGAAAATTTTTTTCTGTTTTGTCTCTACTTCAAGACATCTTTAATTCCCTCACTATGGGACCATCAGTTTCCCTATATTAAATTTTAATATGTTTTGTGTATCTGCACAAAATTTGGCAAGCTTTAAGTAAACATTACAAGTCTTTCGTACACAAAAAATCATATTTTTTAATTAAATATTTGTCTGTAAATATATGGAGTCAGAGTATTGAACTTATGAGTACAAAGTAATTTTCATATTAATATTAAAAATACTTCTCTTCATCTGAAAATTTTCAACTTTCATATGTATAATCTCTGAAACCTCCTAAATAAATATCAGACGTTTTTTACTCCATACTTTCTGAGAAGTATGAAATTTAATGTAAATTACTCATTATAATATTATCATCATTCAGGTAAAGCATAATTTTTATAGACATATTATATTACATTGTTTTCTGTACAGAGAATTGTCTATTTCACTTCCACTTCAAACTTTATTCCCATGGGAAACACATCAATAGGCTTCAGTGCATTTCTAATGTTTCTTGTTGCATAGTTAGAAAGCCAGAAAAATTGTGAAAGTTTTGGAACATTGCCTGCTTTTTATGAGTTATTATTCTGTGTTCTTTGGTGCATTATTTCATTAAATAAATTACACAACATCACTAACTCAAGCAATTATCATTAATGTACAGCGCAATGAAATGTTTATAATTGAGAAATGGAAATATACACATACCTTTTATCTCTTGTTGCATAATCATACTGTATCTTCTTTAGGTCATATGTGTGATTTCATGTCTTTACCCTTTCACTTATAGTTTATTTTTAATGTTTTATTTTCCTTTAATGTTCTTCATCATTGATTATTTATGTTGACATACATCAACAGGTGCCTGTGGGCAATATAACATTAACATCAACAGAGATGGTTTTAGCCTCAGGCAAAATACTGTTTGCTCGTCCTAACTTTGCAAAAGCTGGTAATGAAGCAATCAATAGAATAAATTTAAAAAAACATTAATCCTTTGAAATATAAGTTTTAAAACACAAATAATACATAACTAACTAAAATACAAAAGTAAAACTGAAATGCAATTTAACTGTCTATCAAGCCAATATGTATAAGGCAAGAAAAAACAGCCAATTGCTAGGGACACTGCTCTCAACAACAGATAAAGCTTTATTTTGTTTCATTTGTAAACAGATATATAAGCCTATATTTTCAATTAACTTAGCAACATTCCAACAAGAAATCTGCTTTTTCTATTGGTTATAACAGGCCTCAACAAATATTTGCAGATCTAGGAGCCAGCCCCAAAACACAAAAGCCAGGTGTGGCTAACCTAACTTTATTACTGTTTGTACCAGAACATCGGGGCTACAGTAGTGCCTGGATTATCCATGATCCTCAATTATCCACAGTTTTTTTCTTTTCCCCAAATTTTCTCAAAATAATTGTGCCATTACCATTCTAGACAATAATTTACATGTTTTGGAGAAATTGTCGCTCAGAAATTAATTTTAGTTGCAAAAGTTCAGGCGTTACATGATATCAGGGATTTTTCGCATGCAAGATCTAGTGTGCATACAAATCATAAGTCAGCCGGTTCAAGCCTAGCCTTGCCTCTTTTATTTTTAGCTGTTAAGACTGGGATACAAAATATTTGTAGCTTGGTTAACTTTATCTGATCAGTGATTAAACACATAGTATACAAAAACACACAAAATGCACATTAAGATTTCTTAAAGACTTTACTCAACTTTAGTTGTCGTCTGCTGTTCTATGATGCATGACGAGCATCCTTAAACCACAGATGCACATTCAAATTGTGTTTAGGTGTTGCCCAGTTACTCATTGTCCTCTTCCCTACAGATAACTTGTATCTTCAGTCACTTTTAATAAAGGATTTTTCATAATAATTTCCAAGCATAGATTTGCACTAATTTTTGACTTATTTTTCACAGGTATTGATAGAGTGCAAATGCACTTCCATGTCTATAGCAGAAAAAGTTCCAAAATTTAGGAGGCATTTACACCCATGTTAGTAATTAAATTCAACTAAACTGGTTAACGAGTAATCAAAAGAGGAAGTATCATAGGAGAAAATGTGGAACTGGATTCATGTAACTCACGAAATTCGGAGAAATCCAACATGACTGACTAACCAACCGACACTTGGCTTTTATGATTATTATTGTGACGAGTTTTACAATTTTTCATGATAATGTGATTAAACGACAGTAAATAGATTACAATTTAAAACAAGGAACTTAAATATGTTGAAAAATTTTATTTGGATTATACAATGGGCTAACTAGTGAGATACACTAGTACCTCGCTTATCAGCTGTTTCTGTTATCCACGATTTTTTGGTTTCCGTGGACCAGCACAGATAATCAAGACACCACCGTATATTTACTTTCACAGCAATAAATACATGTTAACGATCACATGATATCAACAACCACATTATATATTGACTGAACTAACTGCTTTTGGTCCTGTCAGAGTCTAAGCATGTGCACTGATTGGTTGAATTGAGAGAAAGAAGAAAAATAAAATGGTGCAAAATTAGTAACGTTTGTGCAACTGCAGTGCTTCAATCTTAAAAAAAACATGAATTGCTAAATCCACCACTAAATTCTTCAAACAAAGTTCAATTTAGGACTCAAAGAATGCAAAAATAGTTCTGTACTTCAAAACAGTCCAGAAATGCTTTAGATTGGAGTTCTATTTAGCACAGCCCTACGCACGAATAAATGAGAGAAAATACTAGGTGCCACAATGAAATTTTTTAGTCACCCAGGATTTGTCGAGGACTGGGTTATAAGCATGCCATTCAAACTTAAAACTATCACTTAGCAACACAGCTTCTACTCTGCAAGCAGGCATGGCTTATTGAGAACTAAGGAAATTTTGGAACAGTTTTCTCCTCAAGGACAAGTTCTAGGAATGTACTCGAGTTACTCGTAAATAACCTATATACTGTACTTTGAACATCTGCTTGGAATCATCTCCACTTGATCTACAGTTTCTTCTATACCAGCTCTTAAAGCTGAGATTCGTAATTGCGAGTGCACAATGAGATGTCAAAACTGAAGTTTCAAACACTATTTCAGAGGAATAAAAAGAAATAAAACTTAGATAAAATAAAACATATAACGTACTTGATAATAACAATTTCATTAAAATACATTGACATTAAAGTGGTTGAGTTACATTTTGAATGTAATGCAGTAACATGCACAGAAAGGTGTTTCAAAATTGCATAATCCCTATAGAATTAATAGTACTACTACTACACTAAATAATTTTGATTTAATTAAATAATGCACCTAAGAACATCAAATGATAACACACACACACACAAAGCAATAATGATTTTTTTGGCTTTCTAACTATGTGATAAGAGTTTCCAAAAATTCAGCTAAACTTGTTGATGCAATTCCCATAAGAAAGTTTTGAAATGTAGTGAAATAAACAATTCTCCGTACAGAAAATAACTTAATATGTCATTTGGTAAAATTAAATTTTGGCTTTTTATTGGTTATAAATAATCTTGTATAAGATGTCAGGAAGCTATTGGCAATTTGTAAAAGAGAGAATGTGACAGGTGGGCATGGCAAGTGGGTCTGATTTTCTGGTGTATGGCTCCATAAAGAAATATGATTGAAGGCTATAAAAATTATGCTTTGCCTGAGTAATATCTATATTGTAATTAGTAATTTATGTTAAATTCTGTACTTCTTAGAGGGATGATAAATAAATTAGAGGAGGAGAAGAGGGGAGACCTAGAGAGCAAATGTCAAAATTATCATATTCATGGAAATAGAGGATTTTATTAACTATGTTTTAATGTCAAGTTTATTTCTATACAATGATAATAAAATAATTTACTTAAATTTTGAATGCAACTCTCTACAAAGTTATGACTTGCACTCTTAGACCTGCTTGTAGTGGGAGGATAAACAAGATATATCTGATGTTGTAGAAGCCAGAGATTTTTAGCAAGGGTCTTTTAGCCTGCTCCACCTGTGTCATACCTTGAATCAACTGAACAATGAGGCACCTGATATGTTTACTCTTAGTACAGAACACACTTAACACAATGAATCACTTTTAAGGATCTATTATCTGATACACTTTGACTATCTTCAAAAATTGAGAAAGGCTGAGCTATCATATGAAAACAGATTTAAAATAATTGCAGTTAGAAGACAGTAGTGATAACATGTTCTGTCATTATTTGTAAGGTCAGCAGTCTGATATATATAGCATATATACATGCATTAAAATCTATATATGGCAGATCTGCTACAACCTAAATGGCAGCCACAGCAAGTTATCACTGTGATTTTTTACCAAAACAGAATTATCAAAAAAAGTAAACTATGAAATTCACTAAAAAAGAACATAATTATGTCATTTACAGAAACTTGAACTGGTAATTGGCAGCCATTTTGTAAAATAGCTGCCATAGGACAAATCTGTGATGATCCTTTACCCACAAATTTCTATTAAGGCATGTCCTAATTGTGTGCCAGATTTCATGCTTTTATAATGAAGGGTACAATTCTTCCATATTTTTCACATATCTGCTGAGCTATATATTCAGTGCATACTTGCCAAATATGGCCAGTAACTAGGCTGTTAAACACTCGCTGTAATAAAAACAGACCAGGTTACTATTGAAGAATGGAGAAAAATTCAGAAAACTTTTCAAATTGTGTCCCTTTAACTCTCTCAACATACGCTTGGTCAAACTGACCAACCATGTGACCACATTGTACTCATTATAGTTTTCATACTTTTAACTTACCTTCTTTTTTTTTGCTGTCGACTATCGATGACACTTAAGCCTACTTCTTTTTTTATACTAATGGTAATAGTGCACTAAATAATTTTTTTAAATTAAATAATGCACCAAAGAACATAGAATAATGATATGTAAAAAGCAGACAATGTCCCATAACTATTACAATCTTTCTGGCTTTCTATCTATGTGACAAAGGCCTATGTGTTTCCTGTGGGAATGAAGCTTGTAGTGAAAGAAAAATTGACAATTTTCTGCACAGAAAACAACATAATATAATGTAATTTGATAGATGAAAACTTTGGCTTTCTATTGGTTATAAATAATATAGTATTAAATATAAGAGAGAACTATTGACAAATCCAGAAAGAGAGGATGTTACAGGTAGGTATGGCAAGAGGGGTCTGATTTTCTATTTGAGGCAAACAAGATTGAAGACTATTAAAATTATTCTTTGTCTGAGCAATGACAATATTATATTATGTAATTTACATTAAATTTCGTACTTATTGGAGGGGTGGTGAATAAATGAGAGAAGAGGGTATGCCTAGAGAAAAATGTCATTTCTCATACTAGTAGTAATTCAGAATTTTTTTTAAATATTGCCTTATAAAATTAAAAACTTATATGCTATTAAATATGGATTATTAGCTACGATTTTATGTTACACTAATTGGTATAATGTGAACAAAAAATTGTTTAATTAAATTTTGAATATAATTCACTAAAAACCTTGTGACATGCATTGTAAAGAATGCCCGTGAAGAGAGGGTTAAATATGTACATAATATTACCCCTTAACCTTCTTACATGCATTTGATAGATGATTTTTATGTGATAGACATTTTCCCAATTATCAAATTTAATGCTCATTTTGATTTTGTGCTACTTAAAAGAATTATCATGCATATTTATGTACCTAGTTCTTATTGAATATTCATAAACGTAAGAGCAAGACTTAAGTTACAAATAACTGTTTAGGTAATAATCAAGTACATCAGTAACAACAACTTACACTTCTCATAACTTGTCTAACAAAGACCAAATCTAAATCAATTTTTGTAATTGAATGAAACTGTAAAATAATGATTGGCAAAAACCGATTAACATATTGTCAGTTACAATATTATACAAGCACTATGTTTACACAACAAAAAACAAAGTGTTTCATGCAGGGTTAACTCACCCCTTTCTTTTAAGTTTTGTACAGGCTTGAATGATAGCAAGGATGTAGGGATTATATAATTGGATGCTTCAGACAACCCAGATCCTAAATGTCTTGCCTGGAATTTAAAAAACAAACAAATGTTTCTTTAACAAAAAACTACAATTTATGCAAAAAATTTTATATAACAAAAACTTCTTTCATCAAGAGAATAGAAAAACTGTTAAACAAGTTTGCAACGAGTAATATCAATGTACCATTGAAATAGATAAAATCAAAGATGCGACCTGATCAAAATAGTTTTAAATATTCCAAAGAATTCAACATATTACAAAAAAAAACTGTTGTAGCTCTCTAAGAGCCTGATCTTAATTTTCCAAGAAGAAATAGATCATGTATCCATTTTCTTCTTGATTTTAGTGTGCTTTTATGTTGTTTTAAATGCCCCAAAATGTCTCATGTGATACTCATTTTATTTATTTATATCTATACTTCATAAGCAGCTTACAATAAAGAAAAGTATTAGAAAATGTTTAATTAACTACTTACAACATGAACTAATAAGTTATAATGCAATGATGGTATTTCATCAAGGAGTACATATGCACAGGCAACATTAATATGGATAACTTTAATACAACTTCATAACTTTAATTTCAAGACCATTCTAAAACAGAGAAAAATAAAATAAACTAATGTAATAGGTAATGTGGTTTACAAACAAAGAAAAAACTTAAAATATTTAAATTCATTAAAACAGAATTTCATAATAGTCATGTGAATGTAAGCAAATTAGCCAATCTAGTCTCCATTATACCATCTTTTTTGTTTGCTACAACACCATCTTAATGGGAAACGTACACAAATGTAGAAGGTATTAGAGGACATAGACATGTTTTTGCTTCAAGGCCAAGTGATTTCTTTAATTAGGGCATTAACAACCTGATTGTAAGATGGGAAAGCATCATTAATAAGAATGGAGACTAATATACTTTGTATTAACAGCAATTTCTTAGCCAGTACACCACGTAAGAACAGCAAAACCTAAGAAAATATTTTTCACAACAATCACCCATAAACTATTATAACTACACACTCCTCAAATTATAAAATAACATCTATGTTATGATGATTCTAGAAGATTATTATGTCATCAGGGTTTAGAGCTATGGATCTACAGAAAGTTTTTCAATTGCACAAAAGCACTTACTTGATAGGTGAAGTGATTTAAATATCATTATACAGCTGGACACATAAAATTAAATTTAAATAATAAAATTTAAACAAAAACCCCACATTAAAAAAGTAGAAAAAAGTTACCTATTTAAGTTTTTAATGAGTGTTACATTGAAAAGCCTGTGGTAGTTTGTTCTGTGCTTTCTACATTATTTCGTATTTTATTTATGTTTTGCACTCATTTTATTATTTGTATTATAATTTTTGTAAGGTATCATTTCCTTAATTTACTGTTCTTTTTTGTAATTTCGATTTATATATATATATATATATATGTGTGTGTGTGTGTGTATATACATAAATAATTAGTGTGTGAAGTACTGGTAAATATTGTTTCTGTTAAATTCAATTTTATCTAATAGAGCTAAACATTCTTATGAGAAAATTTTATTCATTTATTGCATTTCATGATCAAATAGTTTACAAGACAAATTTCTTCAAAAAATGACCCATAATCAATTATAAGATATTACATGTTTTTCCACAAAATATAAAAGAACATCCACATTATAATGGTTCTATGACATTACAATATAATCAAGGTTTAGAACCATTGGTATACACAGACTCTGTCAGTTACTCACTGGAGATAGTAAAGAAAGTTAAACAGCTTGTCACCAGAAGTAATTTAAGATGTACTTCCTCACACCCTCTCCCTTTGCACATTTTTAAAACTCAGTTTGCTTTTGCTTATAAGTTCATTATTCTTAATACATGTATATTTATGTTGATGTTTTTCCTACATTAGTAATTTATTTTTTACTTGTGATTAATTTACAATCTATGCTTTTATCAGTGTTGCAGCAATGTTACAGTACTGTTACGACAGCGGAGGTCACGTGATGCTAGTAACATGTCATATTCTCGAAGCTTCCTGAAGTCTCGAGAGGTTACTAGATATGGGGTAGTCTTGTATATATAAGCC